CTATTTCCCAAAATGCTACCTTGTTCAACCACTGGTCATTATGAGCTTTATTCTGCTTTGTAACTTTCCACCTGAACTTCCCAAGTCTTTCCTGGATGGATGCACAGTTCTGGGGACTCCTCTCATTGAAAAATATGCCACTGCTATAAATTAATTGGTTTTTAACTATGCATTAGTGCTGATATTGATAAAATAATTGAACTGCTAGTAGAAAACTCAATGTATATTATTAACGACTCTACTAGGATTTTCCCAGGGTTCTTCCTATATGGGTCAAGGCAGGCATTTATCAAGATTCCAGCCAGACTCTTTTAGCTTAGCTGATGATATCATTTCACTAAGGTTTGCCCATCTCAGCAGCACAGTGTGATCATTAACAGTTAGGAATGTGTCCTAGTGTTTGTTAAAGCCCAGTGTTGTGGACACATCAATGAAACACCTAATGGTAGACTTGTGGGAGGACAGACCTACCTATTATCATTGTATCCTATATCCTTGCATTTGGTTGTAAATAATGATCTTTTATATCCTACCTTCTATAAACTGGCTCATAGTTAAATATAGTATATTTATATTTTAAATACTGAATAGCAGCTAAAAGGAAAAAGCTGGGTTACATGAATCAACACGAAAAATAATCTAAAAAATGTGAAGTGTAAAAAGCAAGTTGTAGAAAATATATCCCACATGATATACATTTATATGAATGTTTAAAAAACACAAAATAATTCTACATACTGTATATAATTACATATATACACACATATATGGGGGTATTTCAAAAAGTTCATGGAAATATTTATATTATCTTTTAATTCTATTTTTCCACAAAGCTTTTGAAGTACCCTCACATATAATAAAGTTATAGAAACATGGATGAAAAGACTACTGACCAGCTTTAGGAGAATTGTCATCTCTACACAGGTTAGAAGAAAAATAGGATGACTTGGCAATTTTAGAAAAATCTGACCTAATGTTATCATATATTGAATATCAGCACCAAAAATGTTTCACAATTAAAGTTAAATTTTTAGAAGTCATTCTATATTAATGATTACTTTTTGAAAGCATTATTACAATTTTTCTTTTACACTTGGGAATAGTCTCTAGTGGGAAAATGTGGGATCATCTTCTCCTGGAAATGACATGAAATTGTTTGGTCATAGTCTCTCCTAATCAAAGGCATGGCTCATCACTCGACTTTATAAAGATTTAGTCCCTCATTAAAATGATTATGCCATTGAAATGCTCTTCCTCTTTAGCCTTACAAAATACAGAACTTCAGGTAGTAATGACACCTAGATAATGGAATCACATTTTGTGAGTGTTTTAAGTAGACCTCTATTTTCCCTACAGGAGACCTGCTTATCTGTGCAACAGTCTATTCAAGGGCCATTGGGCCATTATGCTGTTAATGTGACATCTGCAGCCAAGCTCTGCAGTCAAAGTCTATGTAACGATCATGGAAGATGTGTTCAAAAACACCTGAATCCTCCTCCTATCTGCATATGCCTGAAAGCAGCGGCAAGAAATATGTCCAAAACAAGAGCTTTAGTTTCATCATTTCTGAAAACAACCAAGTGAAGACAATAATGGACATGAAGAAGGGATTTGAGTGTCACTGCTATTACGGCTGGCATGGACAGTCTTGCAACCATCAGTCTTCTGATTTCTTGAGAGGGAAGAATGAGGCTCCTACTACTAAATTTAACTTCTCAGTTTTTCTCAGTATGAGCTTATCTGTGATTCTGCTGAATTTTTTTTTTACCCTTACTACAATGTCAATTTTTCCTTGCAATGGTGAAGAGTAGAAAATGCTGATTTATTTTCTTTAATTAAAGCCTCTCCTAAAATATGTATTGGCTTTACAGTAAAACAAACAAGCAAACTAACAACAAAAAAGTAATCATTGACTTCATTTGTTAATAGAGCAATTATTTATTGGGCGCTTACTTCATGCTAGGCAGTAGAGGTAAGGCAGTAAGGAGGTGAATATACCTGTCGCTGGGAGCTTCAATTCTTGTGGGGAAATGAACAATAATAAACAAAGAATAAATAAGCAAATATATATCTGGTGATGATAAGTGCTATAGAGAATAATAAAGCAGGGTAAAGGGATTAGGTAACATGAGAGAGCACTGGAAATTTTATATGAGATGCTCAAGTAAGACCTCTCTGAGGAGATGATCTGAAGGCAGGAGAGGAAGGTCACAAATTCAAGGGTACTTCAAAAAGTTCATGGAAAGATTTGTATTATCTTTTAATTCTATTTCTTGAAGTACCCTCGTATATCTGGGATACAGCATTCTTGGAATAGGGAACAACACACGCAAAAGCAAATAGCTGTCTGCCTCCAGGAACTGGGAATCCCTAAGTAATACATGACCTGACCTCAGGATATAAAGTTATTTCTCAAAGGAAGATATATGAATGGCCAACAGACACATGAAAAAATGCTCAACATCACTCAGCATGCGGGAAATGCACATCAAAACCACACTGAGATACCATCTCGCTCCTTTTAGGATGGCTAATATCCAAAAGACTGAGAATGATAAATGCTGGTGAGGTTGCAGAGAAAAAGGAACTCTCATGCATTGTTGGTGGGAATGCAAAATGGTGCAGCCTCTGTGGAAAATGTTATGGAGGTTCCTCAAACAATTACAGGTAGATCTAACATATGACCCAGGTATTCCACTGTTGAGAAAGAAATCCAGAGGAATGGAAATCATCAAGTCGAAGGTGTACCTATTCTCCAATGTTCACTGTGGCTCTATTTATGATAGCCAAGAGTTGGAACCAGCCCAAATGTCCATAATCAGATGAGTGGATAAGGAAACTGTGGTACATCTACACAATGAAATATGACTGCTATAAAAAAGAATGAGATACTACCATTCGCAAGAACATGGATGGACTTATAGAAAATCATATTAAGTGAAACAGGTCAGGCACAGAAAGAGAAGCACCACGTTTTCACTTATTTATGGGAGCTAAAAATAAATAAAAACACAAACATATGGGGGGGCAAGGAAGAAGACACAACAATCACAATTCCTTGAACTTGTTAAAACAAGTGAACAGATATGATGTTGATGGGTGGGAGGGGGTAGAGGGAGGAGTGAGGGAGGAATTGGTAAAGGGACATGAAAATCAACTACATTGCATATTGGTAAAGTAAAATAAAATTTACAAAAAAAGCAAAATTGTAGAGGTCAGAAGGAATCTATACTGAATGCTATATGGTTCAACTTTCCCCACAGTATCAACACGGTTCCTGGAAATCTGTTTAGCAATCATCAATATCTGAAGACAAACCTTATTAGACTCCCATAAAAGGAAATTTACATGGAAAATTCTTTTATTTGGTGCTTATTGGTTTATTAAAATATACTGTATCTAAGCAATTCATCAGCTCACAACGCATGGCAACTCATTTGGTCACTTGACCCGACCTAGTCGTAATCCAGATCATCTTCTTTCATAAAAACTCAAAAGAGAATATAATACTCCAAATTCCATTTCCCCCCTTAGTTAAGGGAAGTTATTTTTCTGTCTGATACCTTCAAAATATTGCATTTTCATTTGTACTCTGTCTTGATATACATATAGAACTTTGATAGGAAGATCACACTTAGATTCCTATTTTGATTGGTTTGTTTGTGCATTCATTCATAATTTGTTCATTTGTTTTGGGGAAAAGTTAAAGTTAAAGAGGCAGTGAAATACAGTAAGCTAAATTGCGGGCTATTTGACAAGTTTCTCTATTGTGGTGGCATTCTTCTGTACTAAGGCTACAATTATAGTAATTTAGTTCTTGTACACAAGCACAATATGTTTTTACAACTATTAAAGTTGGCATAAAGGCATTGTGAGTGGAAAAAACCCAGCTCCTTCTATACTTACAATGACCATAAGTTCTTCAACAAAATATATCAGAGTTTTGATAGGGAGAGAATGAGAGACATAGGCCATTTTGCCCAACAATCATTGAATACATTAAAGATACACATAAAGCCATTATTAAACTTACAGTGCTTCTATTTTCCCCAACAACCACAGATAGAACTACCATTTGGCCCAGCAGTCACACTCTAGGTATATACCCTAAGGCATATATATTTCCAAAGGAATGGAAATCATCATATCAAAGGGATACGTGCACTCCCATGTTTATCGCAGTTGTACTCACAATAACCAAGGTATGGACCCAACCTAACTGTCCACAGACTGATGACTGGATAAAGAAAATGTGGTATGTATACACAATGGAAACTATTCAGCCATGAAAAAAGAATGCAATTCTGCTATTCACCACACCATTGATGAACTTGGAGAAAATTATATTAAGTAATATAAGCCAAGCACAGGAAGAGAAGTACTGCATGTTCTCACTCATATGTTGGAGTTGAAATATAGTAAAATCAAATAATAATAATAATAAGTTAAACTGTTAAAAGGAGAGGAACTGTGGTTACTAGATGTGGGAAAAGGGAAAAGGAGAGGGTCAGAGGATACAAAATTACAGCTAGATAGAAAAAGTAAGTTCTATTGTTGTGCAGTCAACCCAGGAACGATAATTAACAATGATTTACTGCATGTTGTCAAAAGACTAGAAGAGATCAAAATCTCACATCACAAAGAAATGATAAAGTTTTGCAATGATGAATAGGCTAATTACCTTGATTAGTTCATCACACATTGCATACATGTATTGAAATATAACTTTGTACCCCATAAACGTGTACGATGAACATGTTTCAATAAACAGTTAAATAAAAAAATAAACTCACAGTGTCTCCAAAACAATCAGGGCATAAGAAGTATTGACATAGATGAAAGAAAAAATATATATTAAAATATATATTAAATACGTAGAAGAAAGTAGGAAATACTCCAATCTTATTACCCACAGACTGTAATTGGCTTTTACTAAATAAGAAAAAGATTATTAAATCTATTAACTTAAATTTAATAGCAAGTAAATGAAGCTAAAATCAAAAGAACTGCCACATTTCTAATACATTCTGAGAAATTTTGGTTTGTGGAAAAAAAGGCTGCTCAAGTTAACACACATCATGAAAAACATTGAGGTTTTTTTTTTTTGGTAATTTATGTGGACTTGCATAATTTTGATTTTTCAGACTATATACTTAGTCAACTGTCATAAAAATGAGAAGTCATTTTTATGTCTAGCCCAAAGTCAAATACTTTCTTAAATAAAGGATAAAAATTTAAATTATATTTCTTCTTAAATAAAAGATAAAAATTTAAATTAATTTACATGCTTATGATAATTTTTCAAGATAAATTAATAAAGGACTCATCTGTAAGCAAAATGTTTTATGAATACTACAAATCACTTTAGTAAATGAAACATACCTTCTAAGATGATAGGTAGCACCTGTTAGAAACACAAGGAGAGCTTGTCTCTGTCCTGAGTTACCCGAGCAGTGATCATTTTGTCTACTGTCTAGGGCAGCATTGTTTCTTATCTGCCACTAATTGTTGACAGATAAGAGCACCCTTTACTTGGACACAAACTTTTTGACCAGACACTTGGTTTTCCCAGAATCTAATTGCTCCACGCCACCCATTTTTTTAATCAGAAGAAACCTATATCTTCATCTCACAAGTAGTATGTTATGATAATACTTTCTAGCCCTTCATAAATTTCTGTTATGTTTATTTTTATGCTGGAGACATTCTTTACAAAGCCTCCTGACTTTCTCTCCTAATTTAGACACTTATCTTTGGCTGAGAATAATTTTCTTTTAATATTTTTCAAATGGTTTTCTTGCTTCCATTTTCTCTGTTCAATTATAAAATTACTAGTAGATAGATCTTGGCTCTTCCACATCTGTACTCTGTGTTGTTTTCCTCTCATATATTTTAAGTCATTGTCTTTTCTGCTTTGTATTATATATTTGCTTGCCTTTTCTTCTACAATACTAGTTTAGTCTCCGCTATATATTGACACTCATTTTTAATTCCAAGGAACTCTTTTCATATGTGTAAGTATATCTTTCGTTTTTCATACTAGCCTTGTTTTTGTCTGTAGGTTCAGCAAGTTCTTAAATCTCTCTGAGGATAATCAGAAACTTTATTGTTTCTATTATACATTTTATTCTGTTCCATTTCCTCTGACATCAGTTACTCGCTTTGTTAATTTCTTCTCTTTCATACTGTTGGTCTGTATCAAATATTTGATAATCCTTGGCCATCCGTTTATATTTATTAATAACCAAAGTGATTGAACAATCTGTCATAGGGATTTCCCCTGCATTTGTTTGGGTCTATTTACTCAACAGGATTCTTGTGCTGAATGGGAGGATGGACTGCAGACTTCGTAAAAGGGGTTGGGGCATGTTGACAAGTAAGGTTTTATCTGGAGGATGAGAATAGAAAACAGGCAGGTTGCTAAAACCCCTCATAATTATCAAAGTATGTAGAAAATTACCCTGGGAGAGGAGTGTAACTCCCTCATGGTTGAGAAGACTTTCTTTTTATTTCTTTTGTATTTGGTCCAACATACAAAATCTGGACCTTCTATTGGAAGAGATTTCTCTATATTTTAATGTCATGGGGCCAAAAGTCTCTACTCTTTGCCCCTTCTACATACTCTGAGAAGTTGAATTGTTGAACTGGTTCTGCTGTACTGGACGCAATATTTTAATTGGTTGTTCTAATAATTTGTCCTACTTCCACTCTCATTTTTTGGATCTTAAGCTTTGTCTTTCCAATGGAAGCAATAGCTCATACCTCTGTAACTGTCTACTATGTTTTCTTTTCTTTTCTTTTTTT